AAAAATTTCAAAGTAGTACAAGACTGACGTTAGTCAGACATAAAGTTCTGTGTCCGACGGAAGAAACACGATCAATAACTGAATATCAGTTTTTTATAAGATAAAAAAAAAAAGTTATCAAATTTAATCACAAAGAAACGACATTATTACTGACACTAAAGTATCAAATTGAAGAGTGACAGGGCACCTCAACACTTCCGGAGAACAATAATCCGGGACTCAAGATATACGTCCGGTGCATTTCATTGAATAATCGTTTGGACCAAAAAAAAAAAAAAAAAACACGGCTCTAATAAAACCAAATTTTGAATACCATTTCCTTCAACAAATACAAGTGTTAAAAAAAATTTTTTATAAAATATTTAAAATTAACATTTTTTTTTTAATAATTGATTTAAATAATTTTAATTCTACGAAGTAGAGAATAAAGTAACGAAAAGTGAAAATTAATAGGCCTTATATATATTTGAAGCAATAAATTTACTTTTCTATTAATTCAGAATAAATTCAAAAAAAAAATGGTTTTTATAAATTAATAATTCATAATAATTGTGGAAATAATTTAATTTTCATCATTGAATTTTAAATAAAAGGAGATTTTCTCACTTATTGGTGAAAGATATTAAATAATTTAATTTCTACTCGTTTAATTTAATTTGCCAAGTGAAGTTAATACAAATTTTTAAACACAGATAATTAATTTTCCATTAATTTTAACGAATACAAAATTTTATTTAATTTTGAAAAATTTATTTTTTCACAATTTTATATATTTAAATTTGATTTTTTCAAAATAATTTTTTTTTTATTTAAAATTTTCAAAAAAATTTCCTACCAAATTTTCCGATTTTATTATTTTTTGTTTACACATTGTTTTTTTTTTTCGAAAATAATTTCGCGAATCACGTCTTTTTTCGAGGAACAACGAACGACTATTAATTCCCAAACCTAAGAGTCTGGTTTTTATATTTGGTGGCATCTTTTTTTTTTTTTTTTTTTTTTGGAAAGGGTTAAATCTGGTCGAACCGGTCACACGCACAGATGGGAGTGGAGGGGGGGGGGAGGAATTATATATACTTTATGGAACAATGTCGAGAACTGGTTTTCTTTTTTTTAAACGGTTTTTGGTCGTTCCTGCAATGCCGCACAGTCGACAGTGTTCGATCGATGGTCACGTATAAACAGCTAATAATCAAACGAATCGTGTCATAAACAATCGTTTTGGCGGGGGATATACATAGGTTGGTCGCAAAAGTATAAATGAGTGTCGATTCATAGTGGGGGGGGTGTGATGGTTTTTCATTGGTGGGGGGGAGGGTGGAAATGAATGTGCTTCGAAAAGCGCCAACTGAAAATAAATGAGCGAAAATTAGTTTTGATACTTTACCCCCCCCCCTTCTCTCTATTACCATACCGTGATCGACCTAGTTTTATTTCGCATTTCCCCCCTCCCCCCCCCCGGAAACTCATTTCACTTTTGGTCTCAATTGGTCATGAAACTTTTGAATCGGTATTTTTTTTTTTTTTTTTTGTTTTTCAAAATTAAATACTTAATTCAAGGTTACGATTTTTTTTTTAAATTTCAATAAATTTTTGCTTTATTTGAAAATTTTTTTTACCATATTTGAATTATTTTAAATTATTTTAAAGTATTTTAAAATTATTTTAAATTATTTTAAAGTATTTTAAATTATTTTAAACATGGAAAAAAATTTTCATCTGGAACAGCGATATTTTTCTCTAGAATAGCGAAAACTTTCAATGTTTTAGTGAAATATATCGCTGTTCTAGTGAAACTTATTGTTGTTCGAGGGGAAGATTTTTTTCCGTAAAACATTTTAATTATATTTTTTCACTTTTTTTCATCTATGAATTTTGTAATGTAAATAATTTTTTTTAATTTATTTATTTTCATTTTTTTTTTGTCAATTTGTATGTTTAGTACTTGTTTTATAATTTTTTTATAATTAGTATTTTTAAAATGGTTTTTTTAATATTTTTAATTTTTTAATTTTTTTTTTCTTTTATCTTCCATTTGAGAAACGATTCGCCAAGTATTTGAACGGATCGAAATTTCCGGAATTGAGAATTCAATGAATATATAGAAATAAATAAACAGAAGTTATAATCAAAATTACAATACATTTCCGATGTCTAATAATTATCCACATCCTTTTTTTTTATTTTTATGTTGATTAAGCTATTTGCATGACTCGATTATTTTCTTCCGCTTGAAATTAGAAAGTAGATAACATATATTAATTATTGTTTAATTAATATTTATCATTTTTTAAAAGAACTTCCAAAAAAACAATGTCAATTATTCAAAGTTTCATAAACAAATAATAAAAATTGAGAAATTTTAAATTTTTTTAAATTTAATACTATTAATTTTAAATTTTGCATTTATAATTTTAAAATTTAGATTTTAAATTAAAATTTTTTTTTCAATTTTGGAAAAATTGAAAGTAAACACAAATATATATTTCAATTTTAAATTAAAGTAATAAAATTTTAGAATTTTGAAAAATATTTTATTTTGTGAAATTTATTATAAAAATATCAAAATTATTTTCACTCATGGAAAATTGAAATTAATTTTTTATTTTAAATATTGAATTTGTTATATATTTTTAGTTGTCGATAATTTTTTTGTTGCCTCTGGTTTATTTTGATAATTTTACTGTTTTCTGTTTTTGTCATTGTGTAAATATTCTTGTCTTGTTTCGAATAGTAATTTTGTTATTTCTCTAAAAATTTTTTTTTTGTTACTTTCTGATATATTTTTGTAACTTTCCGCAAAAATTTTTTCAAGTTTCTGATATTCTTGTAATTTTCTTATATTTTGTAATCTTCTGATATATTGTAATTTTTTTGATATTTTCTAAATTTCTGATATTTTTGTAATTTTTTTTGATAATTTTTTTCTAACTTTCTGATATTTTTGTAAATTTCTCAAAATGTTTCTAAGTTTCTGATATTCTTTTAAATTTCTGATATTTCTGTGACTTTCTGATATTTTGTTTTTAGTTTTTTATATTTTTCTAAGTTTCTGATATTATTGTAATTTTCTGATATTTTTGTAACTTTTTGAAAATTTTTCTGAGTTTCTGGTATTCTTGTAACTTTCTGATATTTTTGTAAGTTTCTTGTAAGTTTCTGATATTCTTGTAATTTTCTGCTATTTTTGTAAGTTTCTTGTAAATTTCTGCAAATTTTTCTGAGTTTCTGATATTTTTATAGTTTTCTTGTAATTTTCTGATATTTTTTGTAACTTTCTTGTAAGTTTCTGATATTCTTGTAATTTTCTGATATTTTTGTAATTCTCTTGTAAGTTTCTGATATTTTTTGTAACTTTCTTTGTAACTTTCTAAAAAATTTTCTGAGTTTCTGAAATTTTTATTGGTTTCTTGTAATTTTCTGATATTTTTTGTAACTTTCATTGTAACTTTCTGAAAATTTTTCTGAGTTTCTGATATTTTTGTAAGTTTCTTGTAACTTTCTAATATTATTTGTAACTTTCTTGTAAGTTTCTGATATTCTTATAACATTCTGATATTTTTTTTTGTAATTTTCTGATAAATCACTTTTTTTTAACCACATTTTCCACGACTTGAAAATACTTTTTTTTTGCTTAAAAATATTTTCCTCAAAAAATTTGCTATTTATTTTCATTTTATCCATGAAACAAGACGTAGGTAGTCACTTTCAAAATTTATCTTATCACTTTATTATCGTCCAGTTTTGTTTACGTTAATTAATTTTTATCCTCATTTCATTTTCCTTCGTATCAAACTTTTTCTATACTTTACTCAAAAAATTTTTAACCTGCGCCTTCGAAAAAAAAATCACTTAACTGTATCTGAAAAAAAAATTCCTTAATAAAAAAATTTTTCAATATCCTCACTCGAGAGAAAAGATTTTCTTTAATATAAAGAAACCAATTTCTTTGACTTGTTTTGTTAATTTTTTTTTTCAATCAAAATTTATTTAAAACAAATAAATTTTCTTTTATGTCAAAGACAAAATTTGTCAAAAGAAATTGTATTTTTTTTTTTTTTTGACGCAAAAAAAGATTTATTTTATTTAAAAAAATTTCTTTCATTAAAAAAAAATTTCTTTGAATTAAAGAAATCTTTTTTGCGTGTTAAATTATTATTACCACCCCCCAAAAAAAAAAAATAAGTTGTGAAAAATTTGATTTGTAAAATAAATCTTGTTATCAATACGTGATGTACTCAACTGTCACAGAGAGAACGTCTTGATCGGTTATATTGGAGGTCAACGGAGTATGGCAATGAATGGGTACATGAGGTGGTGGTGGTGGTAGGGAGAGAGAGTGTATTCGAATCAGTCAGAAATCGAAGAGAGAAAAATGCCAAAATAAACACAAGGTTTGGGGTTATTCGCACCAGGGGGAGAAAAAAAGTGCATGGTCAGGGGTGATGTTCGCTAGAGAGAGAGAGAGAGAGAGAGAGAGAAAGAGAGAGTGGGGGAAACTGTATCGAGAAAAAAAACTCTCTCTCTAAAAAAGGGGTGAGGAAAAAATAGTCTCTCTCTCTCTCTCTAAAAAAAAGGGGGTGAGGAAAAAAAAAAGTAACAAAAAATTGAAGGTTGAAGAATTGAAAGTACAAGGACTCCCCCCCCTTGATAATTTAACCACCCTTTTTGTCCCCCCCCTAAAGGGGGGTAAAAGGGATGTAAAAGGGGGTGGCTGAGTTATCATAAAAATGGGGGGGTGGGTGTTTTTATCTTAAGACGATGGAGAGACTTAAAGGGGGGGTTTGTTTGATGGAGGGGGCAATTGGCGGGCAGGTCGTCGAGAAGGGGTGGGTGGGTGGCTTTGAGGGTGGGGGATGACTCCTCCGTGAGGCTGGAGGGGATAAGACTACCCTCGGAGGCAGAGTGCGTTTGCGCCGCCGACGTGGAGGTGGCATCCCGCGGCTCTAAGGGTTGCTTGGCCCTGGTCCGGGGGTGGCACGGGGGTGGGGGCGTCCCTGACTGCAGGGTTAGGGTGGTCTTTAGGTCTGTCAGTAGCAAAGCGGCGGCCTCATCATACGGAGCTGCTGGGCTGACCAGCTAGGCCGAAAGTCACTTAAAGACGCGTACCACACCTTGTAATATAACACCCCCCAAAAAAAAAAAAAAATAACCGCTACACACACTCACGCCATCTACACACAGCCTCCCCCCGCACACACATACATACATACAGACATACATACACATGACACACGACATTCAAGATACACGAATACACATACAATTACGTGTGCACCTTCAAGGACCTAAGCGAGGCAAAGGCGCGATTATACGCTGACCGACCGTCGAAAGAAAAAGACACTTCGCGAGATAAACCAAAAGAACAATACAATTGTTTTTGTGTTCTTTTTTTGTTTTTTAACAAAAGACAGTGTTGGATTTTTTAAAAATTTTTTTTTGCAAAATATTTTTTTTCATTGTGGAAGTTATATGTAAAAAAAAAAAAAAACGCGAGTGAATATAATTAAGAGTGAGATTTTGACAAAAATGGATATTTTCACAGTGCTTTTAGATTGAAAATTTTTTTTTCTCAATTTACTGAATCAGTGGATTTTTGTATTTTTTTTTTTTTTTTTTTTAAATACTTATGACTGTCCATCACTTATGATTTTGTTTTATAAGTGTTCCCCACGTGTTTTTTTTCTGTCTGATATATATACACACGGATAAAAGGCACAGTGAGCAAAAAAGGTAATTTTCGATTACCAAACAAAAAGAAGGATAATTTTTTTTTTTTTTGGGAATAATTGTTTTTGTGCTGGAAAAAAATTTTCTTCTGCCCTTTTTTTGTATGGACAATTATATCGTGTATTTAGTTTTATAATTTAGTTTATAATATTTATTTAATTTATAATTAATTTAGATATTTTATTTAATTTATAATAATTTAGATATTATTTAGTTTATAATAATTTAGAATTATTTAATTTAATTAGTTTACGAAAATTATATTATTTTATTTAGATTTATAATTTATCTAATTTATAATAATCATTATGTAATTTATTTGTTATTATTTTAATTTATAAGTTGCGTTTAATTTGTACTTTTGTATATATATATATATATATATATATATAAAATATATTGTTTTATAACAAGTTTAGAGAAAAAAACTTTGTTTTAAATTATTTTAGTTGTAATTTTGTTATTAAAAAATTATGCCGTTTTTGTATAATTTTGTAAATTTATGTGTAAATTAAAAAATACATTTGTTACTCCAATTTTGATTATTTCGATCTATTAATTTATAAGTAAATTTGCGTATATAATATTTATTGTAAACCCATTAATTTTAAGCCAATTCGTATAACATGTTTATAATTTCAATAATAAAATATATTAACTACTATACTAATAAACCTAATATACTAAAAATATAATATACTAATAAAACTAATATACTAAAAAACTAAAATACTAATAAAACTAATATACTAAAAAATTAATATACTAAAAAACTAATATACTAAAAAACTAAAATACTAAAAAACTAAAATACTAATAAAACTAATATATTAAAAAACTAAAATACTAATAAAACTAATATACTAATATAACTAATATACTAAATATACTAATATAATTAATGTACTAATATACTAGCTAATATACTAATTTCCTAACTAATATACTAACTAATATACTAACTAATATACTACCTAATATACTAACAAAACGTAATACGAAAAACTTATTTCGAGTTTATTATTTATCAAAAATTATTCGTTATATAAATTTTTAAATTATAAAACATTTTAAATTAAAATTTTTTCAAATAAAACTGAATTGTAAAATTTTTTAGTTACGAAACTTTACAAGTGTGAAATTTATACAAAAAATTTAGCAATTAAAAGAGCCAATTTTTAATTTAACTTATCAATGGGACTGACAATAATAATAATTTTTTTTTTTTAAGAATTCTTGTAACAATTACAATTATTAACAATTTGTTAGCTATAATCTTCAACTTCTTTAAAAATATTATTTACAATTTTCCTTTTCTTTATATTCCTCACTTTCCTTATAATGAATTCTTAGTATAAAATTTCGTGAATCAAAATTGTAATTTATTGAAAAAAAAGAAAATGTGATAAAAATAATTATAATTATTTGAAAATAGAATTGAGAAAAAAAAAATGATAGAATTAAAAAGAGCCACTGTGACATCTTCCGTCGGACTGCGAGATAAAATGAGACGAAAAAAAAAAAAAATTTACGATTTGCCAGTTCATTAATATTCTTCTTCCTGTCGCGACTTGATTCCGTTTGTCTGGTATTAAAATAATTTTTCCAATAACTTGCCGACAATTTTTGCGAAGTTCATTATAGTTTTCCAGAATCAATCGTCTAATTCGTTTCGTAATTTATCATTTTTTTTTTTCTTGTCAACTGTTCTTCAATTGGCAGTTTTTTTTCTCCTCACTCTCACGCGTCAGACTATTATCTAGATTCTCTCCTGCCAATTTGCTTCGCAGACTGACACACCATTTTATCTGATAAATTTTATTAGAGTGACATTAATTAACTTATAATAATTTCAAATTAAATAATCTTATGTTATCTTAAATTTCTTTTTTGAAAATTTGTTTTTTTTTTAATTTCTAAAATTTTTATCGCTAAATAACTTGTTTAAAAACTGTTTTTTTTTTTGTAAAATTGAAATTTCTTTTTTTCACTTGAGAACTTTAGAATCTTTACTTTTAAGTATTTTCAAAAGACAACAAAAAAAAAACAAAGATTTGAATTACAAAGAAGTGGAAATGAAAGAAAAAGATAGTTAATAAAAATACAAAAGAATAAAAAAAATGTTTAAAAGAAAGAAAATTTAATCAATTGTGTGAGAAAAAAAAGTGATACACCTTTTGAATATAACGAAAATAATGAGACGTGTCAGTAGTAACAGTTTTTATATAGTCAGACACTTTTCTAGTTCACGGAAGATAGTACTCAAAAGTAAATTTAATAAAGTGATTTAAAAAAAAAACTACTTAGAAAATGTTAATTAATGAAATTAATCTCGATTACATATATTTTCAGTAGAAATGTTCAATTTAAGTCAGACACTTTTTCCAATAAGTAATTTTTACCATTACTTTTGACATTTGACCAAAAAAAAATTAAAATTAAGAGTGTCATGAGTGAAAAAAACTTGAATTATAAAACTAATTAAACAATGTAATTTTCCTTATTTCTATTTTAATTGTTTAATAATCATTTAATGTTAACTTTTTATTAAATTTAGTTTTTATAAATTGTACTTTTTGATAGTTTTAACTGTTTAATTTAAAATTCAAATTTTTTATTTAATTTATTATTCTAATTATTATTTATTATTTTATTTATTTAAGTAATTTTATTTTTATTTTTTATTATTTAATTGATTTTCTTATTGTATTTAGAATAAAATTCTATAATTTTTGCTTTTTAAATAGAAAATTTGGGGCAAAATTTCATTTCGCGAAGAATCGGGTCAGATTTAAAATAAAGGGTCTATGACCCTTAATCAAATAGCGGATAATGCGAGGCAGCTGTCAGTGTCTCTAACAACGTCTCAGTCACCGTCGTTCCCTTATCAACATCTGCTACATAAACGCCAAGTGGTCAGTGTTCAATACAAAATATTAACGTGCAAAATTTACACATTTTACTTGAAAAAAGGTGTCGTTTATCAAAAAAAAAAAAAAAATATTTGTCACAAAAGTTACCTTATCCCTTTTTTTTTTTTATTCGTCCCCTATCTTTTTCTCTGATAATTTTTACAATTCTTTATCAATTTATAATTCAGTTCATATTTCACTCGAAAAATGATCTAAAAATAATAATTAATAAATTTCTTTTTAATCGACAAAAAATCGAAAGATTTCATTAATCGAAAATAAATTTGATTATAACTTTTTTTTTTTTTTTTTTTTAAATTTCGATCAAAATGTTAAAATAATAATGAAAAGAGAAATTTTTATTATCAATTATCACAATTTTTCGTTCTAAAAATGAATTTGTTTTTTAGATATTTTTTTCGATTTCGATTTCTTTTTTTTGAATACAAAGAAGGGATGGAAAAATTCGGGGTAAAAAAAATAAAAATAAAGAAGGGAAGCGGAAAAACAATTGAATGTAAAATCGTGACTTCCTTTCGGTCATTGGATTGAACTGGCAAGGCGGAAGGCGACGGAGGGAACTGATGGCTTAGAGGGCCTTGAGTGGTTGATCGGCCGGAATTAAACTCAGCGTCTCCATTACGAGTGATCTTAACTCTGGCGTGTTCCCCCTTTTTCCTTTTTGTATTCACTGCAAATCCCCCTTCTTCTTCTTCTTCTCTTTAATTTACCACTCCTCTTTCTCTTTGCATCTTAATTAATTTTCCTAAACCAATTAGCCATGAGGATAAGATTGAATCTCCCTTTAGAAATTAGAAAACTTGAAGTTTAAAGTCCCGCATGACAGAAAATTTTCCAACTTTCCACTTTGGGATTATGGGAATTCAGATCTTCAATTCTAAATTTATCAAAACTTTATAATTTGTTATGATTTTGCTTCTTGTTTAAATATATAGTTTGTTTTTTTTTTGCATATTTTAGAATAATGTCAATTATTTTAATGTCTGTTTCATTCATGTATTAGGGAAATGAAAGTTTTTTTTTTTAATTAAAATTTGGTGCCTACATTTTTTTTTTTCTTTTCAAGTGTTTGATAAGAAAATTTTGGCGCGCTACAATAAGGATTATTTGTGAATGTTGTTGTAATCTGACAAGTAGATAATAGAGGAAATCGTAAATGGCATTTGTTGTCAAAATTTGCCAAGTTTCAGAGGAATATAGTGACGTCTTAACCGTCTGCTTTTGCGACCAAGTTTCACAAACTTCGTCAACCCTAATTCTCGGGAGAAAATTTCTGCCAAATGTCACATATTAAGGATAATGCGAGTTTCTTAATGTTACTAATTACTATCCTAATGTGATTAAGAGTACCTTTCCAAGTGCCACTTTGCCAAAAAAAAAAAAAAAAATTTTTTTCATTACTCTTCCTTTGTTTATTATATTTTTTCTCTTTTTTTAACGTTTCGTTTTCTCCCGCACTTTTAATCAGATTAATTTTTTTACACAATTAATTTTGTCATTAAAAAAAAAAAAAAAAAAAAATTGAAGGTATTTTTATATTGTCCTTTCACCCCTCGTGTGGTCGGAAACTCTTTATTCGAATTTTATGAGTCAAGTGGCTAAGATTGCGAAACAAATGTTCCTTATTTGCATACTGAAAAGCAGTTATTGTTGTCTTTTCATTTCACATAAAACTTTGCACGATTCATTAAATTTTAGAAAAAGAAAGTTATAATTACATTTTTTACACTTTCTCTGAATGTTTAATTTTTATATTTAAATTCATCTTAATGTAAAGAATTTTCATTTTTTGATAAAACTACATTTTTTATTGAAACTTGAGTTGGAATTTTTTTTTTTTTTTTGGAATAAGAAGTCGAGACCAAGACATTAAGGCTAAAAAGGGTTAGGCTCTTAAAATCGAGAACGAGTGGTACTTTCGCGATACTCTATATAAGTTTAACACTGGAGAAAAAAGCTTTTTTTTTTTTTTTTGAAAGAAGTAATGTCTCAGGATTCTTTCTTTTTTAAGCCAAAAAGAAGAAACAAGATCAATTTAAAAAAATAGTAATTTTTAGTAAAATTTTAAAT